CCGATGGACTTGGCAAGGCATGTTCAATTGTCAGATGTCAGGATCACTCGACTTGACAATCTTGAACAAGTCTTGTCCCTTTGTGGGCTGAATGAGGCGCAAAGCAAACGTACGTGTTCTTTACTGATCGCCCTCAAGCAGAGCCCAGTCCTACCATGCATGATGTGGAAGCGTGGATGCTCAGGTATGTGGAGGCCTGGATCCCTGATGAGTTCGAGTTTGGAGGTCCTTGTGCCTTACTGCCGTTGAGCTTGCATTGGGCCTCACTTCACCACAGACCGGTGTTTTGGCTTACACTTCGTAGGATTTTCACCTCAAGTTGATCTCACTGGTGCTCCCAATGCTATTTAATGTGTTTTAAATTTATTTACAAGAATTGCATTTCGGGTTGCTGGTGGTCATTGAGAAGCATCAGAGTACGGACAGAGTTAGTCTGGCTGGTCAAGCTTGGACAGGTGTTGCAACACCTTGGTTTCAACAGCCAAAAGCAACAGCTCAACAGTGTGCCCAACCTGGCTGTAAAAGTGAGGCTCCTCATAATGTTGCACAACCACCGCACGTGCTGAGCTCTTTGGGCAAGGGGACCTGCCAGGGCAACAATCTTCAGCACATTCTGTGGAGACAGCCTCGGGCGTCTAAGCAGTTGCTCACGCACTGCTTGGCTGTAGAGTTGAATCCAGCTTTGGAGACCATCTTGTCGTTGAGGCCCTCCTTTATCACTTCCTCAGTGATCGTTTCGAGAGCTTTTCATTGGAGCTACTTGCGAATCTGGGACTGAACTAGCCGAGGGGAGCAAAGCCGTGTCTTCTTTCAAGCAGGTCGTCTCATCAGCTCCTGCAGTAGATTCCAGTATATACCGCTTCGTAAGGAATTAAAGGTTGTTGAACTCTGATTACATTGACTGCAATTATCGGCCAGATGCTGTTGACAACGAGCTGACTGCTGTGCCCAGGAATGGCAGCAAGGCAGAGATTAAGGATGCCTTCCTGGCTGCTGGCGAAGAGGGCCGCAGGCAATGGCACGAGTTCAAAACCGGGCTGCAAGCTGAGGCCTGGGGGTGAAGGAGATGCACGGTACTCACAACAGATGGCCCGATGGGCTAACGGGTCACGATGTGTCGCAGGCCACACAGGCAAGATGGTGTTGATCACCAATGGTACTGGATGGTGCTCCTTCCCTTTTTGTTCACTATTGGGTTGGGATGCACATGTGCGAGGTGTCAGGCAGTGGTCGCGCAACGAAAGAGTGGCCTCGCCGGCCTCACCCCAAAATGGTAGCTGCCCTTCTTTCATCTCTTAAAGGGCCACTTATATATGGCAAGACAATTCAACAATTCGGACGTTCAATCAGCACCAAAGTTGAAGCCCATTTCGAGCAACCTCTTGGGGGTTGTTGCTGTTCGTTTCGGACTTCCTTCTCTATAGGCCCAGGGTTTTCTTTTAGAATTTAGCCGATTAGACTAGTTTCACATTGACATGTTTCACCGCTCGCCTGCCACTATCCCTTGGCATGAATTCCTTAGCCAGGCTGGGCTGCCAGCGGTTTGGCGAATGCCCTCGAGCCTCGAGGCTAGGCATCATTGTGGTTCAGGTGCACTTTATGTAGACATGTTTAGACTTTTCATTAGCCGTTCCCTGATGTGCGCGATCTCGGAGGCTTCCGTTCAAGATCACTTGGATGACGCAGCATGCAACTGGTACTGAAACATACCGCGCACCGTGTGATTCTACTGGGAACCCCTATTTTTCTGTGAATTTTTCAATTTTTTCTGGAAATTTTTGTCATATTTTTTCCCCTACTACTTTTGCTTTTGGCTTCTTTTGCTTTTGCTTTTTGCTTCTGCTTTTGCTCTTGCCCTTTGCTGTTGCTTTTTGCTTTTTGCTTTTGCTTCTGCATCTGCTTTTGCATTTCCTTTTGCTTCTGCTTTTGCTTTTTGCTTCTGCTTTTTGCTTTTTGCTTTTGCTTCTGCTTCTGCTTTTTGCTTTTTGCTTTGCTTTTGCAGTTGCTTTGTTTTTTTGCTTTTCCTTCTGCAGTTGCTTTTTGCTTCTGCTTTTGCTTTTTGCTTCTACTTGTGCTTCTGTTTTATGGCGTTCTGCTTTTGCCTTTGCTTCTGTTTTTTTGGCCAGGGTCTAACGAGCCTGTGTTGCTGCAAGGGGACAGCTTTCAACACTGCGCTGGTTGCAGTAAAGATCCTGTGCTGCTGCAAGTGGCCAGCGTCCACAGCTGCGCTGCTTGCAGTGGCCAGGGTCTAACGAGTGTGTGCTGCTGCCAGCCTACGCTGGTTGCAGTAAAGGCCCTGTGCTGCTGCAAGTGGCCAGCTTCCACAGCTGCGCTGCTTGCAGTGGCCGGGGTCTAGTGGCCAGCTTCCACAGCTGCGCTGCTAGGGTGTGTTGCTGCCAGCGGCGAGCTTCTCACTCCTACGCTGGTTGCAGTAAAGACCCTGTGCTGCTGCAAGTGGCCGCTGCGCTGCTTGCAGTGGCCAGGGTCTAACGAGCCTGCGGTGCTGCAAGGGGGCAGCTTTCAACACTGCGCTGGTTGCCGTAAAGACCCTGTGCCGCTGCAAGTGGCAGCTATTCCAAGTTGACTACCCTTTGAAGTAAGCAATGCAGGGGTGAAATTTAGAGAAGGAAGTTATCATTCCAACTTCACTCACCCTTTTGTGGGCAATGCAGGGGTAAAATTTAGAGAAGGAAGTGGCCATGCCAAGTTGACTCCCCCTTTTGTGGGCCATGCAAGGTAAAATTTAGAGAGTTGCCCTTCCAAGTTGACCCACCCTTTGGTGAGCAACCCGAGCGTACAATTTAGAGAAGGAAGTGGCCATTCCAAGCTGCCTCACCCTTTTGTGGGCAATGCAGGGGTAAAATTTAGAGGGTAAAATTTAGAGAAGGAAGTGGCCATTCCAACTTGACTCACCCTTTTGTGGCTAATGCAGGGGTAAAATTTTGAGAAGGAATTGATAGGAATTGGCTCTTCCAAGTTGGCTCACCCTTTGGTGAGCCACCCCAGGGTAGAGTTTAAAGAAGATCTTGCCATTCCACCTTGACTCACCCCTTTATGTGGGCAATGCAGGGGTAAATTTTAGAGAAGGAATTCGCCCTTCCAAGTTGGCTCACCCTTTGGTGAGCCACCCGGGGGTAAAGTTTCAGAAAACGAACAGAAGGATGTTGCCATTCCAAGCTGCCTCACCCTTTTGTGGGCAATGCAGGGGTGCAATTTAGACGGTAAAATTTAGAGAAAGAAGTGGAGATTCAACTTGACTCACCCTTTTGTGGCTAATGCAGGGGTAAAATGTTGAAAAGGAAGTGGTCATTCCAACTTGACCCACCCTTTTGTGGGCAATGCAGGGGTAAAATTTAGAAGGAAGTGGCCATGCCAAGTTGACTCACCCTTTTGTGGGCCATGCAGGGGTACAAGTTAGAGAAGGATGTTGCCCTTCCAAGCTGCCTCACCCTTTTGTGGGCAATGCCGGGCTAAAATTTAGAGAAGGAAATGGCCATTCCAACTTGGCTCGCCCTTTTGTGGCCATGCAGGGGTAAAACTTAGTGGCTGCTCCTTCTCCTTCGTTTTGTTTTTCTTCTCTCTCTCTCTCTCTCCCTTTCTCTTCGTGCTACATGAAATAGTTGAAGGTAGCGTACGTATATATTTGTTCAAAGCCCAGGAATTCTAAAAGAATTAAGCCGGAAGAACACCTAAAGCACGCCTAAGGACAAGAAACCGAGCCTAAAGAAACCCGAAACCAGTGAAGCCCACTGTTCCCTCCCTTTCTCTCCATCACGCTGGCTTTGGCGCTTCGTCCCCTACCCTTTCTGCTACTCCTCACTCCCAGCAGAAGCCAAAGCAAAAACAAACAAAAGCAGTAGGGGAAAAAAAATTTTAAAAATCCCGGAAAAAACCCGAAAAAAATATCCATCCTTCTACTGTGCCCCACCCTGGTAACAGGTTCGCAAGATGACTCAACCTCCGGAGACATTGAAAGCCCTTCCAAAGAGAGCACCAATAGGTATACATGCCCCCCCCAAAACCTGAAACAAATGACTGCTGGACATGCCAACCTATTGACGACCGCCATCCATTTATCAAACAGTCGGCTAAGTTCTTCAGTTCCTACCAGTTCTTTATTTCTATATATATCTTTGGGGCAACATGATTCACGGCGTTGGGCAACTGGACTCACTGGGATATGTCTATGTGGTCTTGACCGGACTTCTGGATCTGAAATGATCTGAACGCCTTTGATAGCCTGAAATTCTTTGAAGTATATAGCGAGGTCGGTGAATTCATTTCGGAGAACCAAGTAGTTGAGAAGAAATGCCTCGGCAGCAGGCAAGCCCATCAGGTTAGCGGCTTTGAAACAAGAAAGGTCAACCTGGCTTTGCCGCTTTTATTTTTTGGAACAGATGGTCTTCCAGGAGCGGACGATGCACTCCCACAAATGCTTGGATAGTGTTTGGACACCAAGGCAACCTTGGCTCACAGCGTTTGTGGGTCTTGGGCGGCTGGACACGCCACGCACGCTCCACAGACATCGAATGACCGGTGGATCAGATGGATGCCTGGAGTGGTGGAAAATCGCCTGGAAGTGGAGCATCAAGTACCATCAAATTAAGCAGTAGACCAGGTTGACTACATACATAACATATCATAGCATATAATTAATATATATATATACGATTGACTTACATATTTATAGTGACCTTGATGCTTGAGACTTGAGAGGGAGAGAGAGGGGGATAATTGTTCTTGATTGTGTAGGAATCGGTCCTGACCTTTGGAACCTTCATGCAGGGTTTGTGGGCTTGAGGCACCCATTTTGATGAAAGAGACCATGGCTTCCATTGGTAGGCATCCTGCCGGTGAGGTAGGGCTGTGGAATAGGCAGAGGTTCCATGTAGAGCGGAACCAGTGGTAGGTATTTCCAGCCACTGCAACATATATTTGCAACCTGCAAATCCCAAGAAAAATCGGGACATGCTTCTCTCAGTCACACCTGTTTGCTGCAGGCTGCTGCTTGGAGACGAGATGGGCCTGGGGAAGACCGTGACAACCCTGGCATTGGTGAGGCAGTCGGTCCGGTGGGTCTCAGCTCGTGGTCAGGGCATGGTCACCGTGCTGGCCTACACACCCCCAAGCTGGATAGGCCATGGCAGATTTAAAGATTCTTTATCGCTACTCTGATTCAACCTGTGGGTCGTGTGGGGATTATTTGGGATTTTGGGCAAAGAGGACTGCTGTACCGAAGTGGAATCTCGGTAAACTTAAAACAGGAGACATTGTTCCACCTCATGGATGTTGGATGTTGTTGGATTTGAGGGTGATCATGGCGGAGAAAGTCTCCTGATCATGGGACACATGATTGAGATAGTTGGGCACACTTGTTTGTCGGCATTGAAATGCGTACGCTTGAGTGGGGCCGCTCACCGTATTACAACAATGACCACGTGTGGTTGAGGCACTTCAAGGAATCCTGGCCTTTTCTGGCTGCTTGGATGCAGAACCTCAGCAGTTGTGCAAAGGAAGAGATGAGTACCGTGAGTCAAATGAGTGAGCCCCACCTGTGCAGCAGCTCAGCAGTCAAGGTGGTCGCCCCAGCGCCGCTTTGCAAGCTTTGGCAGGCACAGTAGGGTTGTAGAATGAGCCAGTGAATCCCTATGATTTGTCCAGTCAGATGATGGCGGCATAATACAGTATGTATATAATATTTAATGAATATGTCATGCATATATAGTATGTTGTTTCTATTCTTCGATAGTGGACAAGCATCCACCTCCCATTCTGCCCACACAGACACTGCCAAAAAGAATCGGAGTTGATGGCAAAACCACCTTGATGACAAATGTCAAGAGAGAGTGCGTTCTCCATGAACATTTCGCCCGGGGTGAGTCACTTCATGCGAGGAGCATGCCTTGGCCTGGCTGAAAGAGGATCTCAAGCCGCACGATGTGGTCCTGATCCGCTTTGCCCAGGACCCAAAACAGAAATTGAAGTTGGGACGGGTGCAATATCAATCAATAGGACAATAGATATGGAGGGGACCAGCGGTGTGTGGTTGTAAAACCGTTTGGAATCACCATCTCCACTCTCCGTGACTGAGGACTCGATACCTTCACGGGCTCGAATGGTGGTGGTGTCCTACAACCTGATCAGTGATGCTTTGGTTGAAACGGCTGAGCATGGCCGAGCCAAACGCTCATAGTGCAGAGGGTCAGTTTGAGAGCTTGCAAACGCTCAAATTTAAATCAAGGCTGCAAGGCTTGCATTAGCTTAATTATTGGGATTTTTGCACTTGTTTGGCGGCAACCCTTTTCAAGAGGCCGCCGCATAAAGCGCATGTGCATGGATTTTAGACCGTGCGGGGGATGCTGCAGACTACCGGGGGTGAAGACTCAGGATCCAAAGTTCCAGCGGAAAGATGACAAAGACTTTGACCTGGTGATCTTGGATGAAGCTTGTTTGCAGGAGTCCTGGGGCCCCCACTCCTACTGCAGGCGATAGGTCATGAAAGCGTTTCTTGACTGTGCATGCAAGAAGGCCCAAATGGCTTCTCCCCAGAGTGGGTGTGTATTGGGGTTCGGCCCAAAAGAAGACTTGGGCAGCATTCTGAAGAGTTAGGCCAGGGGAATTTGGGCACTTTCTGCATCCACAAAATCGGATTGGCCAACCGCAGATCGCCCCAATCTGCCTCTCTCCAAGGAGTGTCATTTGCTCCGTGGAAACTCACAGCGCTCCAAAGCTTGCGTGCCCCTGGCGAAGAAAGCCATGCGAGCGATACTCCTCACTGGGACGCCGCTGGTGGCACGAACCCAGGACTGCTTTGTGAGGTCAGGTCTCCAAGAATTCCTCTCTGTGAGGGTCTAAGTGTCCAGGCTTGATGGGAAGCGATGACTCTCTTCAGCTGCAGGATGCCTATCCTTTGCTGGATGCGCTTTTCGATCTTTGTACCCCCACGGATTTCGCCCAGCGCTATGCGCCGAGCACGTCCTCCCGAAATCAGGGCCGGTCTGCACGGCTCAATGAGCTTCACGTCCTCCTGGGTGCGGCCATGCTTCGCAGGACCAAGGCGGGGAGGTTTGCTTCAATTCAAGAATCAAGAACTTTGGTGAAGATGTTCGATGCAGACACTCCAACATTCGACAATGTGCATCCGGTTGGGGAGCGACACAAGGTAGAATATATATACTCTTGATGTTCATTGATTTTCACTATTTACAGTAATCCTACTCATTCTCTCCTTTCACGCTGGAACTCGCATGTTTTTCTCCATTTGGCCGAACATACCACCTATTGGTTTTGTTTGGCCTGGGGCAGTGTCAGAAATCCCACCGCCATTGCGCCGAATGTGGTGTCAGGAGAACACTTTGTCCGAACTACCTGCCAAGCGCCGGCAGCGAGTTCTTTTGGATATGTCACCGTCTGCTGAGAAGGAGTGTGACATATCCTGAGGTGACCATCCTTTTACAGTAGTGGTCATTGCTGCATGTTTCCGCCAGAGGCACGCGTCACTCCATGGAAATCATGTCTTGGGATTGCTACTGTAGGCAGACGCATCTGAGGCATTGTTTCACGTGTTGCGGATTCTTTTTGCATTGGCTTTGTCCCAGGAAGATGTGGAGGAAGAGTCTGAGAGGCTCACTGTTGCCTGCCGTGACATTTGCACGGTCCATTTGCTAAGCCTTAGTGGAGCCGCCCCAGCATGAAAACAAGTCAATCTAGCATGTGTTTGGGTTCAAGGTTCTTGACTCATCATTGTTTCCGCTCCATGGGTTAAGTTTGGAGGCTTGCAAAGACCAAGTCCACGGCTGTGGCAGAGTACATGAGCTGCCTGACCTCTGCAGATGTCCCTTGGATCAACTCTTATGCAAGGTCTTAGGCAAGCAGCCCACCTGATCGTGCAGGCATTCGATTGCTGTAGTTTTTGTGTGATTGGGCGTGCATGGTGTGCTACGTGCGTGTCCGAGCGCACAGAAGCTTGCACAGGTCCGATTTCTTGTCTTCGCACATCACCTGGCGATGTTGGATGAGTTGGAGAGCAGCTCACCTGGCAGATGTTGATTCAGCACCTATGAATATTGGAAAGGTTGGAAAGGACGTATCTCAAAGCATCCGAATGCGGATGTTCATGTCGTCTTCCACACTCGTGGCCAAAGACCTGTTGGGTACTGATCATGACTTAACTTATGCAGTGTTAGCTGGCCTCCTCAAGTTTCTATCTACTGTAGGCAGGCTAAGAAGAAGACTGGGCTAATATGGGCGAATTATGTTCGAACTCAATCCAAGCGATCTGTTCATTGGACCGTTTTTCTTTCCATGGTCAATGATTAGTTTGGAGAGAAGAGGGGAGGGAGAGGACTGACCGTACACAGTACAAACAGGACGAAATAATAAGGCATTTAGACAATTCTTTACTTTCAACTAAGTACACATGGACATCCCGTGCTATGGATCAATCAAAAAGCGAGTCACCTGAAAAGGCCTTTGGCTATCACTTCCATCAAGCTTGCCACCATTGCCACCAGACATCCTACTTTAGCCGAAGCCTTCATAAATCTGTTCGCGTCGGCTCCCAGGCTCTTTGCAGCGAGCCTCAGTCACCTACATCCGCATCGACGGAAGCACGCCCATGGCAGAGCGCTCCAAGTGCCCCTGGAGCAATGCCAGATTGGCGTAGATGAGATCTGAACAGTGGGAAAGCTCATGAAAACTCCAAGGGATGGGAAGGCTTATCCAGATTCAGATAGGGGCGTTTGTGTGTTCAGCTGAGAGGCCGGAGTTTTTCCCAGAGATGCCGGAGGACAAACTGTTGAACAAAATCTGCACTTGCGTGTGTATAGCTTGTACGGAAAAATGCAGCCTCAAGAAAGCTGGTACAAACAACGCAAGAAGGCTACCAGGGACGAGATTGTTCTGTATTGCAGGCGCATGTGCCCTCCCAAACAGATACGTACAAACAGTATCCTTGTGTGATCTTTTGTGGGCATGCCTCAGGCTATTGTATTTCTTTGGGGTTGAACTTTTGTTAAGCAATACGAATATATTATGCCTGGAGATGCAACAGGTACATCGAGGCCTTCCAAGCAAAGGAGGCGCAGGTGGCACTGCTTAGTCTCACAGCATGTTCGCAGGCGGGCAGCGGATGTGCCTGGGCTGATCTGGGCTGTGTGCTATTTGGCAGATGCAGCATGCTGAGACTGTTCCCAAATGCAAACACATGGTGTTGGAGCATGGGCACCTTTTGAATGAAAGTGTTGATCCTGTTGAGACTGCAGAAAAGAAGAAAGATCATTCTTGGAGTTTTGAGACATGCGCATTTGAAGAACCCGATGTTCCAGGGTTATTCTCATCCTGTGTCTGGCGCCAGGGTTTCACCCTCACCTCTGCCTCTCTGGTGCTTTTTGCGGAGACCATGCGTAGCTTTGTGATGCAAGAGTGAACCGAACCTGACAGTGTGCGAGTTGTGGGTTGCAGTTTGCATTGCCAAGCTACAAAAATAAAAGCCAGCCAGTCCTCCAATCTTCTTGTCTCACCTTCACAGACTAGTCAGGGCTTTCCATTGCCTGAGGATCCGTTCCACGAGTCAATGAGGTTTGTACTCTTGTGGACAGTGCATTTTCTTGCGCGGGGGGCAGGAGCTTTACTGGGTGCCAGGCGTCCTGCTGCAAGCCGAGGAGTGGACGGGTCGATCCTTTCAGGGTGCACCTCCATGTGCATTTGGTCATTTGGTGACTCACGATGTGCATTTGGTGCCATGCCTTTTTAACAGGTGGCCGGTGGCCATGCACAGCGCCCTTCTGCTGTAAACCTTGCTTTTGCCGAGGTTTTGCACCACCTTTTTCATCCATTTTCCTGCTTCCGATCGCCCACCTGTTCTTTCCTCATTCACCAGGACCGTGCCCATCGTTTGGGACAGGCGGCAGCGGGACATCAAAGGGGAACCCACATGGATCTTCCAATTGAGGAAGTGATGACTCTGCAGGTCGCAGGACATCGTGGTCTTTGTCCATCCTTGCCCCCAGTTAGGATGAAAGCAAGATTGAGTAGGTGTGCTAATAAGTCCAAGGTAGCCATCGCAGAATCTCAGAAGCATCCTACAACCAGCAGATACCACTTGTTTTAGTGATTAGTGAAAAGCGATGACTTCCTATGATGGGGGCACACCTGCTAGGCCAACATGGTCAACGTTCAGTACCTCGTGGCCCCTGGAAGCGTATCCAAGCTGACAGCCAGCCAAGCATTTTTGTATTCTGCTGCCATTTCACGAAAGGTAGCTTCGGCTACCTGAGTCATTAAGGGCTGACGCCCGACAGCCGGCCACGGGCCCACCACTAGTCGTCGTCGTCGTCGTCGTCGTCGTCGTCGTCGTCGTCGTCGTCGTGGTGGTGGTGGTGGTTGTTGTTGTCGTGGTCGTTGTTGTAGCAGATGGTTGTGGTTGGTGTCGTTGCGGTCGTGGTTGAGGGGCCCACCACACGATGCAGGTCATGCACGCCGGTGCAGCACGCATTTATAGATTTGTGCGTCCGTGTTGGGCATATGTTTGGAGCTATGTTGGGGGTATTTTGGACCATTTATGTTGGCATACGCATCAGATGCGATTTTTTCCGCCTCGGAACCCCTCACATGGCCAAGATCGACTCTGACCCCATCCAAGCGCACGAAACACTGTAAAATGCGATGTTTGTGAACGTCGAACGCAAAAAACACTGTAAAGCACAGGGGGCGGAACCCTGCGCAGTGCCGGGCCCGATGACGGGCCCCTGGCCGGATTGGGGGTGGTGAACGGTTCCTGTGCTTGATTTCGATGGCTTTAGACAAGGTTTTAAATGTTGGGGGGCAATTCGACTCCACCCTGCGCCGCTCAGAATTTGGGAGTTATTTGGCTTGTCGACTGTGGTCTATCGCAATCTGTGGTCTATTGCTGGTTGCTGCTTGCTGTACTGCTTGCTCCTTCCTGTGCTGCTTGCCGCTGTGCTGCTTGTTGCTCCTTGCTTGCTGCTGTCGCTGGTGCTGCTTGCTGCTTGCTGCTGCTGCTGGTTGCTGCTGCTGCTGCTGCTGCTGGTTGCTGCTGCTGCTGCTGCTGCTCACTGCTCGCTGCTGGTGTTTCGTGGTTGCTGCTGCTGCTGTTACTGCTGCTTCTCCTACTAGTAAGACTTCGATTACCTTGGTGTTCGTGCACTCCAGTGATACTTCCCCCTCAGGTGGACGAGCGCATGTTCCGTGCCGTGGAGCGGCGGGCGGTCGAGGCCACTCGGGCCGTGGACGGTACGAGACCGGCCGTGCAAAGCAGCGACGGTGGCAGCGCCTTGGGCAACTCCTTTGGTGCGGAGGCGCTGCAGAGCGCTGAGGCTTTGCAAGTGGCAGGAGGGAAGGGGGCAGGCTGCATGCTACGAATTTGCAATTTGTTTGTGGCAACCGTTGTTGCTTGCGCTGATTGCTATGCCCAGGCCCAAGCAAAGTTTGTCTTAAATCGGCTACATATCGACCACTAAATCAACTCTCAACTGATTTGTGGTACTCCTGGGCATAGAATATATATAGGTCTTGAAGAAGGTCTTGACTGAAGTCTGCATTGAAGGGGTCGATGGCGAGCAAATACCTGCACTAGCTCAGTTTGGAGTTTAAATTCAACACCACCGCTGAACAGCTCCTCATTCAATCGTGCTTGCTGGTTTGCCCCTCATTGATTGGCGCTCAAGCCACCCCAGGACGCAAACGAAGAGAATCAGAATCTGGCGACGATGTGCAACTAATTGGAGCGCCTCACTCTAAGCGTCCATTTGCTTGGGCAAAAAAGTTGAACCCGACTATGAACGAAGACAATGCAGAAGAGATGGACGGTTCGAAGAGAAAGTTCCGAGTTTCCCAAAATTGCAGTTATCGTGTGGATGATAGCATGCGCGGGAAGTCACCGTACAGTTGGAGGCTTCACTAAAGCAACGGTTGCAGGACGGTATCATTTATCGGTGGCTCGACCCCCGATCGGCGCCGTATAGCAAAAAATTCTATCCTATCATCCCCTTTAAAATTCCTCCTACAGATTGGTGCTACCTGGGTACTCCCGAGCACCCATTTTATAGCACTATAGAATTGAGACACTCAGGTTCCTTGATTCTAAAAGGAGACCACGAGATACCACGGGAAGTTTCCGACAAGGGTGCAATTTGACCTAGTTGACCTGGGGGTCGTGATTCTAAAGTGATAGGACCCTGAGATCTATGTTTCCGTGAGCTTTGTACTGGTGACATGGGGACTTTGATTTCTTAGTGGCAGACATGTTGATGGTCATTGACTGATTATGATTCAATAGAGGAACAACCTTTGAGCATCCCCCCTGGAATTTCCTCTAGGAAATGGTTCAACCCAGGTTCCGTAGAAAAGGGGTCACTTTCTAGTGAGGCATGCCCCCATATATTGCTGGAGCCCCACCATTTTCTATAAAGCAGGTTTTTTAGTGGATGACACAGTCTGCTGTTTGATAATTCCTAGAGGAAATCTGTAGTTGTTTTGTGCTTGAAAAAGTAGGATACCAAAATAGGTACAAGAGCATTTTCTAGACAGTTGGCAACACACAAAAAATTGATAAGGAAACCATGTTCTAGAGACAACTGCTTGATATGGAAACAGTACGGTGCAAAATGATTGTCCTGAAAAAGCTCGGAAGCATTCGGAAGCAAAGATTGGGTGGAAACAAGTTTGCTATAATTTGCTGTGTCGTGTATGTATGTGCACGTCAAAGCTGATAGATGCTGATTGCATATGATTGGAATCGATTCAATGTTGTACAAGATCTTACGCTCTAGAAATTGGTTGCTTGATATTTTTTCATAATTTTCATTGATGACTGAAAATCTCTAGGAAATGGTTACTTTAATATTCGGCCCTTGTTCAAAAATCCCTTTCCATGGCACCTCTAGAAAATGCATTTCTGGTTTTACACTTGTCTCATTTTATGCGCGATGGGAACCTGTACAAGACCATTCCCCAGAGGCAACACTTCATCCAGATAAGGTCTTAAATTGTTTTATATTTAGTTTTCTCGAATGCCTAGCATTTTCTAGAGAGTGCTTTTACCTGGCCAAAACCATTTACTAGACAAAAGTGAATGCCCCGTTTTTTCTAAGTAGAGAATTGTCCATCCAAGTTCACCTTGAAATTCCAAGGGGGATCTTTGAGTGTTTTTTTGTGACAGTCATTTTTTGAGTGCTCTTTCACCTTTTCTCTGTTCTTTCAACTTTGCGCTCTGTCAACTTTCCCGTGGGAGGCTCATGATGAAAAAACTTTCCCGTGGAAGGCTCATGATGAAAAAGCAAGCACATATAGCATTATAAGGAATCGGTCTGTGAGATGGGGGTTGTGATTCTTTAGTGTTGAAAACTTCATACATACTTTCCGTGAGCTTTCACTTCACGACATAGGGGCTTTGATTCTATAGCGTGCGCATGAGTTGGGGGGCATGATTTTATAGAGACCCCCACATGGGGGGCGTGGATCTATAGTATGAAATGGTGCTACCAAGTAGCCATATGAATTTCAAAGGGGATATCCTATCCATTTCTTATTCCTATTTTTGTCCTAATTCAATTCATTTCTTTTATTTGTTCATCCACCTTTATAATCTTTTATGGGAAATCGGTATGAATCAATAATATACTATTTTTGATTATATATAAAATATACAATATATAATATATATATATATATTAATTCTATTTTTAATATTGTAATATTTTGTTGAATTATTTTATATAATATTATTATAATATTGAATTAAATATATATTTATATTTATATAATTTTCTAAAATTTTAGGTATTATTTTGTTATTTTTTGCTTTTGAATTAGGATTAATTTAATATATTGAAAATAAAAAATATTAAATGGTTTTGAACAAAATAATTAGGAACATTATAGATTATAAAAATATTTTTAGATATTTATTAATTATATTTAATTTTGGAAAAAAAAATCATTATTTATATGATTAATTATAGATCTCTATACATAATTATTGTTAATTATATAAATATTTTATATATTGAAAATTTCATTTTAGATTTTTATGGAAAAAAAAAAAAATTGGGAATGGATTTTTGGGAACATAGATATTTTATATATATTTTTTTTATGAAATAGGAATTATTTAAAGCAATATATCTATTAGTATATAATATATTTAAATTGATATGATTATTTCTAGAAATTTAGAGGAATGGTGTTGAAATGAAATTGTTTATATATATTTATTATAGAAATAATTATTCCTAGATATTTAAAGGAAAGGTATTGAATTAAAAATTTTTATATAACACAATTTTAATATATTTATATAATTTTTAATTATTAGAATAAAGAAAAGAATAAATTAATTTATGTATTGTAAAAAAATAGATTTAATATTGTTCTTAATATTCTTTGGGCAAAAAATGCGGGGTTTTATAATATGTGTTTTCTTAAATTAAATAGATTAGAATTAATATAGAATTAGGTAGAAATGGGATTTGAATTAGAATTAAGATAGAATTGAATTAATATTGAAAATTGAAATAGAAAGGAATTAGAATTAGAATTTCGCCATTCTATGTAAAATGCTTGAGCTACAAGATGCATAAATCGAGGAGGATTCGAAATTAGATAAAGCCGAAGCAAAAATAACAAATATTGAATGAATTAGAACTATAGTTTACACAGATTCATAATCATTTCATGTAAATTGGAAAATATCATTATAATGTTATATTAAATTGATTGGAATTGCAATTTGCAATCACCAGAAGTTAATGCATAGACTTGTATATGGAGATTTCGACAAGGACAAAGGGAGTGGTGGGCTCAGACGCTTTCATTGTAAGAACAAAGAATATATATATTTTTAGGTGAGACTTAGGCTCACATACTTGAAGATTGAACGAAATAGTAAGAACATAGATTGACCTAAAAAGGAAAAACAAAAAAACAAAAAACCTTGAGAAGACCAATAACAATCTAGGAAAAAACAAAAAACATAGGGAAAACAAAAAAACAAAAACCATTCTGGGGAAATCTTGAGGAAAGGGGGGGGTCTAGCCAAGAGTCTCTGAGAAGTGTTTTTTTGTTTTTGTTTTCCCAAGTTCTTTTTTGTGTTTTATGTGTTTTTAATTGTTTGTTTGTTTTCAATGTGTTTTTGTTTTCTCTATTCTATATTTTCTCGAGATTGTTAGTGTTTATTTTCTGATGCAAAGGACATTGAGGCAACTTTCACAGAGATAATGTTTAAGAATGAATAATTTAGACATTGCCGTATATTTTGTATCCAGAGTGTAGGCTGACAATTCTGGCGAGCTTTGGATTTGGCGATGCTAAGGCCTTCATATTATAGATGAGGCAACCAAAAAATTGTTTTTCTTCTATTTATCAATTATGATGTGGTGAGTGTGAGTGGGTGCATACGCGAGTGAGTGTTAGTCTTGGCGAGCGCATTGGAATTGATTGAGCAGGGTCGTGAGTGTGAAGGTTGGGCGAGTGGGAGCGGATTTGAGAGAATGAGTGTGAGTAAGTGAGTCAGAGAGAGAGGGAGAGTGAGTGTTAGTGATTGTGAGTGGGTGTAAGAAAAGGAAAATGATAGAAAGAGAGATAATATGCGGTTGCGGATTGAGGATTGGTTTGTTGAATATTGTGGTCGTGATTGCTTTGAAAAAATGAATATAAATTGTACCCATATGAAAATCGAGGTTTGAATTTCCTTTATATTTAAAAATTAATATATTTGTTGGCATATATTCGATTTTAATAATGATTGTTTTTTAATATTTAATTATTAATAGATATATTTGTTTAAATAATTAAACATTAATTAGTATATTATATAGAAATTGAATGTAATCATTTAAAATTGTGTGTTGGGTTTCGATATAACGATAAGGATATAATATTTAACAATTTGTTCTTTGGAATATATTTTCATAATTTGGAATTTGTTGAATTAAATTTCTTGATTAAAAATAAATAAAGGCAATTGGATGACGTTGTGAATCGAATTCTTAAAAAATATATCTTTATTTAATTAATATTAATTATTTTAAATAGAAATTATTTATTACGCAAAAAAGAATATAGGACGAACCACGACAATATAAATCCATACAATAAACGATATTCTTGCGCGGGGAAATCGAAAACGAAATACGTTATTTTTCTCTAAGCTTAGAATTTTTGGTGCGGGTGTTGGGGGTTTGCTTGGGGCCTGTTGGGATTGGCGTTTCGAGTGCGGGTGTTGGTCCGGACGTTGGATCGGCATTTGGTGTTGGTCGGCGTTGTGGATGCCGGCGCAGATATTGGCGCGGGCATTGATGCGGATCGGAATTTTCTTGGGGAATTGGCGCCGGTGTTGTTGCTGGTGGACAGGCATTTTGGGGATGGATGTGTATTGAACCCTGACATCACATAATATCATTCCTGGCAAAATGAGGAATGTCGCTATTGGATTTATTTCTCAGGCACTATGAATTTTTTGCTATACACCCGCTTTCTGGTGTCTATGCCGGTGCAATTTAAATATGATTTTTGTCTTTAACATCTTTGTTGTCTTCTTGTGTGTAGTGCTGCAATGTGCGGATATTGATATCAAATCATTGCCAACTGCAGGGCATGAAAGCATTTCCGAATGGCAAACCTCTTCGGAAATATTATATATAATGGATGATGATGGGGTCCAAGAAATCCAAAATTCCTTTTATAACAGGTATCTGTTCAGGAATATATACCGCAATATTAAACCTGATATTTTCCAAACAGAATATAATCAATTCTAGATAT